CCCTAGCCTTAGAGTTCATTCATGTCCCATTTGCTATGTAAGGAACAAAAGACATACCAACCCTAGGGACCATTCTGCCCTTAAACTCTCTGCTGAAGGTATTGCCAAGAGGTTGGATGCACTATTTGTACTTGGTAAAGAACATTAGGGTGAGATTTTCAAATCAGCTCATGCCCAGTGGGTGATAAGTTCTTTTATATATGTGGCACTGATGCAGCTATTTAAATGGAAGCTGAGCTGAAAAATGTGGTCCTAGATAGTAGAGACAGGATAATGGGACAGAACTTTCCCACAAATACTCATTTGAATTGTTCACCCCTTCTTTCTGTTGTGTTTCTGCCCCTTTTAGCATTTACTGTCTGCGTATATTTATGCAAGTAGCTTTTACTATAAGCACTCCAGAAAAAAATATATTTCATATTTAACCTGATGATGAAACTGATACTCAGGCACTCTCTCAGTAAACTGAAAATTACCAGTAAATTACAGGTGACTTACATAACCAACCTCAGCCAAAGCAACAGAGCTGGAATTTTGAGGGACAAGTCACACAGAAGAAGAATTTTTCACATAAAAAGTTACCCAGCAAGGAATGACTCCGAGAAAAATTACAGTGTGTTCCTGGCTGTTTCACAAAAAGAGAAAGTAAAATCCACCCAGTAAGTTATTTGTTATAAATTACTCATTCAGCTGTGGATGCAAGATTAGACAGAAAGACAAGACAGAGAGCCACCAACTCATTTTACATAGGTCTTTCTTTGTACAACCATTGGGTAGGAATGCTGCTGGAGGTCAGTTTCCTATACCAAATATTGTCCTTATCTTGCAGCTATGAACATGTGGACTGGATGCTCACCCCTTTGTCTTGGTTGCTCTTACCTTCTGGTTTGGGTTTGCCCAGCACCCTCAGGACCTCAGCATTGGTTGGGTTTTGTCCAAGCGCCCGCAGGACATCTCCACATTGAGCATAGGCGATTTTCATCTCCCCAGATGGGGTCCTGTCAAATAGGCTGAAGGCCTCCTTGAAATCTGCACAAAGGACGGGACAAAATCTGTGGTCATCTGCCCACATTCATAATGCCTCCAAGTCACCCTGGGAGAAGAGGAACTGTGGGAATCTGGCTCTGTCCATGGGGATGGGAGGGAGGGGGTCAGCCTGACAAGGTAGAGAGTTGTCTTGACTGTTGTATTTTGGGATTTCTAAACTGTTAACCCTGTTATCCTTGCAGTATTTACCCTGCCTCCAAGTCAGGTTTTCCAGACTGCACTGAGCTCCAGGTTGGTGAGGCTGGACTGCAGTCAGGACTCAGGCTAGCTAGCTTGTGTATGTCTCCATTACACAGCAGTCACAGCCTCACCTCCAGCTCCATCCTCCTCCTCCTCTTTGATTTAGACTTTCCACAGGCTTCCACTGCCTGTAACCTCCACTGAACAATCCTTTTCCTTCTACACATGCTTTACCTGTAAAATTCCCTTTGGAAGCCATGGTCCTGTGTAGTCCTCTGTTCAGGCCCCTCCCTTGCCCCAGCCAAACTCCTCCCTGTCTGCAATGCTTCTCCATTCTGTGACTTTCCTTGGTCAGGCCTTCTTTGCGTCCATCCAAGCAGGATGCTGCTGCCTGAATGTTTGCCATGTGCAAAGTAGGGTTGCCAACCCTCCAGGATTGCCCCGGAGTCTCAAGGAATTAGATATAAATCTCCAGGGGATGCTGAGAGTCACCCCGGAAAGAAATGATAGGTCATTCATTAAAATAAATATTAAATGTTGAATCTGATTTATACAGTAGTCAGCGGGTTTTTAAAATGTAATAGTAATGTGTATGTGCCTTCCTGATGTAAAGTCTCCCCACCATAATCTGTAACTGATACACCAAGCACACGGACATGTTTGTGTTGTGCGCCACTGGCACAATGCCGTTCCAGAAACCTCCTGGAATAGATTCAGGGGTGGCAACCCTAATGCAAAGACCATGTTCCGCCTCCTCAAGAATCCTGCCTTATCCTCCCTGTGTGCTGCAGGAGGCAGGACTGCCATTTTCAAGAAGCCCCTGTCACCCTGGCATCAAGCACTACCCTTTACCTTGGGGGATGTACCCTAGATCTGGAACAATTAGGATCTGCTTCTTCTTGTACATAATGTTTTTCAGTCTCCTGGCCCGCTGTAATATTCTCTCTTTATCCCTTATGTCTGCTACACGAGCAATAACAGTCCTGCACTGCTCTGGCCCTGGTTTCCACTTCCTGCTTGTCACCCGCCAGGCTCTCTCCACAATGATGGGATTCTCCAATGTGTCTAGCTGCAGAATGCTGGGCAACCATTTCTCCAGGAACGCTTCTAGGTCTCTCCCCTCTTCTTTCTCTGGCAATCCTAAAACTCTGAAGGTGTGGGTTTGGGCCTGGCTCTCCAATAGCTCCAGGCGGGCATGGAGATGTCTGTTTTGTCTGATCAGCTGTTCCAAGGTTTGGTCCCATATTTGGGTTTTCACCCCTTGTTTTTCGATCGATGAATCAGTCTGCATGGCTGGCAAGGCAAGGCGGTTTATCAGCCTTTCCAGCCTCTCCATGCGAACACTTAAAGCCACCGTTCTACCATCAAAGGCTGTAAGGATTTCTAGCTTCTCATCCAATTTCTTCTCAATGTCTAGCAATAGCTCCCTCAGGGATGCATGGCTGTTGTTTCCACTGATGGGTAGATTTGGATGGCTGGAGTCTCTCTGGGGTGAGTGAGGCTCATAAGCCCAAGATGTAGTTCCCTGGGCTTGGTAGAAATCCTTGGGCAAGATTTTTGGTTTTCTTGATTTATTAGTTGGCATCTTCATACCAGCTACAGCACTTTGCCTTACCTGGGATCTGGACTTTCTATGCCCATGGCTTGGCTCTTGTAAGCCCAGGAGCTCTACTACGCTCTCCACTGATGGAGCCCCAGTCCCACCTGCAGATTAGCTTTTTACTATTCTTGATACCATCCAGCATGCTGTCCTATGTGGTACAGCAAGGATATGTCAGGGGCTGCTACCTGGCTGTGACATCACAGTGGCCACTTCTCTGCCAATGGGTCTTGTGAGGCATAGGCTTTGGGCATACGAGGAAGAAACTGATGTCCTCCTTTCATGGCTGGATTCACAGAGGAGATAAAGGTCCTGCTGCAAGTATTAGCTAAGCAAATTCTCCTTCAGTGGCAGCAAGCACAGCCTGCTTGTTTGAAACTGAAGGAGTGTGGATCCAGTCCTGTTTCCCCATCAGGATGTCATTTGTGTCTTTTGCACAGTATATGGATTCACTATGGTTTAGATCCTTTCCTGGTTCCCCAGGCACTATAGGGCAAGATAATTGAAAACATCTGATCAGACTAAACTTCACCCAGATATGCATGAAAGGCAGTGCACTCAAATATCAACCCCAGTACACTGATACAGGAAAAATATGAAAGCCTCCTTGATGTTGTTAAGAAATGAAAATTGAGCTGGCTTGGCAACAGGATGAGACATCCTAGTTCAGTAAACACTTGAAGAAAGAGTGAATGGAAGGAAAAGAGGCCAACCAAAGAAAATGCATATAGATGATGAAGAGGAACAACCATCACAGAGCCTCTTTACTTTGTCAAGGCAAAGAATGTCAGTGATGGAGAGAGGTCATAGTGAGCTGTTATGATGGTCATGGGAAACAGGCTGATTGGGTGCTCTAGGGGACCATTTTAGAAGCTGGGCCAATATGACACACAGTCCCCTGATATTTCCTCCATCCAGAATCTGAACTCTGATCTTGTACCATACTGACTCATCACTGTGGTGTGGGAGCAGCCCATATAGAAGAATGCAAGTGCAGCCCCAGGCACAGGCTTCCCTTTCATGATGGGCATATGTCATTCACCGAATCCTCAATTTTAAGTTGAGGCAGCAGCATCATTAGCAGAGCGAGGACCCAGGCTTCATACATTTCCTCTGCTGCTTTGGAAGATGGTATCACTACTAAATCCCTGCACTGGCTCCCACTCATCTTCCTCATTCACTTCTATTTTCATCTCCACTGCTGCCTACATCCCTTCCCAGCATGTCACTCACACCCTGAGTTCCACTCAAACTTTCTTTTAAATACTCCTGCTACCATAGAATCATAGAAAAGTAGGGCTGGAAGGGGCCTCGGGAGTCATTTAGTCCAGCCCCCTGCCTAAATCAGGATCAACACTATCCAAACCTCCCAAAGAAATCCTTGTCTAACCTATTACTAAAACTACACATGCGAGCCTGTCATACAACCATAAAGTCTAGCACTAACTTGCCACAGGTAAAGCAGAGGGACAACAGTGGCCAATGTCCTGCTGCTGCAAGGGATGTTAAAATACACTCAAGAAATCCAAGGAAGAGGGCCATGCCCCCTATAACAGAGGAAGGCAAAAACCCCTATAGTTCATACCAATCTGACCATGGTAGATAAAATTTCTTCCTGATCCCAAATGTGGCAATTGGTCCAACCATGAGCAGAGGGGTGAGACCCTCTAGCTAGGAACCTTCAGGTTCTTGTCCCAGCAGGAACATTGACACACACCAGTCCAAATCCCCAGTCTTGGCTGCAGCTAACAACTAGTGCTTCTGAGGAAGGCAAAAAGAAGAAGAACAACAAAAACAAGCTCTGACGTGGAGCAATAGGAAGGGGAAAAAATTCCTTCCTTGTCCCATGCAACAATCAGCAAAACTAGAAGCCTGGGAAATACCCATAGTAGAGCATACACATAGCTACTTCTAAATCATCCCTGACCAACGCTTATCCAGTCTTTTTGAACACCTCCAATGATAGAGTTTCCACAATTTCCCTGAGCAGTCTTTTCCCCTACCTCACTGTTCTAACAACTAAATTCTTCCTGCTAGCCAATCTAAACCTACTTTGCTGCAACTTTAAGCCCTTGGCACACATCCTGGTCTCTATAGCTAGAGAGAAAAGGCATCCTCCCTCATCTTCATGGCAGCCCATCAGATATTTGAAGAATGCTATTCTCTTTTTTAGACAAGTCCTCTATTTTTTATAACCTGACCATGCATATCCTTCCCTGTCCTCCTCCTCCACCACAGCCACAGCCCTGTTTTGGAGGCCTGTGAGCTTTCCTCGCTGCCTGTAGCTCCATCCCTGCTATCAGGACTACTGGATGATATCTACCTCTGAGTTTAAACAGGGATATTACTTTCTGATTTCACATGTCTTCTAGAGGCTATGAATGGTATAGATCAGGGGCAGGCGATTATTTTGGGTGGAGGGGTGCTTACTGAGTCTTGGCAAGCCATCAAGGGCTGCTAGGGGCAGATAAATATTAATTTTCTAAATTTTTAGGGGCCCCGCAGGCCAGATAGACTGGCCTGGTGGGCCACATCCGACCCACAGGCCGCATTTTGCCCACCCCTTGTATAGATGGAGGAGCATGTCTGGGGAGTTGGGAGTCAGGACCCTTGGGTTCTGTTCTCAGACCTGACTCTTGTGGAATAGTGCAGGAGTCGCAGGTCAGGACTTCTGGGTTATATTTCCACTGCTGGATAGGGAAGTGGCTTCATGGCTAGAGTAGAAGAGGGATTGGGTATCAGGGCTGCTCTTCTAATATCAGATCCACAAGGAGTGCAGTAGGATGGTTGGAGCAAGTGGCTCAGAGTTAGGGCTCCTGGTCAGCTTTGGGAGAGAGTGTAGTCTCATGGTTACAGCAGAGGGGTTGGCATGGGCTCTAGTCTGGATTATCTGATTGTGTGAAGAGCAACAACAGTTGGGTTGAAATCTGCCAGCACTTACCTTCAATCTGGTCAGCAGAGAACTCAATCTGAAGAGAACAGAGGAGAGCAGTTAGGATCCAGTTTCCACCCTTTGTGCTGTAATAGTTCTGCATAAATCCCACAGCCAGAATCAAGCTAAGGCAACAGCAGCACAAACCAGCCCACAGGCAGAGCAACAACAATTTGACAAGGCAGTCTGTCTTTCACTAGTGGCAGGAGGAATTTATCTCCTGAGCCTGACTCCCCCTCCCCGAAGACAGTGCCAGAGCACTGGGCAGCACCTATCTACCCCGTTGGGGGTGGGGGGCTGAGGGATTTCAGATTTGATCCTGAAATCTTAAATGCCCTTTTAAAATACGTAAACGTGAAGCCCTTTTTACAGCAGAGAAAAGCTTGCATGCGTGATGTGAATTCACCCTAAGGGCTCCAAAATGGGAAGGTAAATAAAAACAACCCAAACCTTTATTTCCTATAAAAATCTCCTGCATCATGGAGTTTGAATACTCACTGCTAACAGCAGTGGGCTCACTCCAGTGAAGCCACAAACTCATAAGGACTGCTCTTATCACAGCAGTGGTGGAAATCTGTACATCAGGGGCCAAGCTAATCAAACCATTGGACTACTTGTCTTTGTGGAGGGGTGTTTCAAGGTAAGAATAGGGTAGATGCTCTTTCAAAATGTGGTTCTAGGAGAAATGCAGAAAGCTGGCAGAAGTTGCCCAGAGTGAGTGGTACTTAATCATGCTGTGTTCTAGATAATCCTGCAGGCCTCCTCCCCACCCTTAGGAACAAAGGGTAAAGCAAAACATTATCTCTTGCCATATTCTCCCATTAGTATCCAGTTTAACAGGGTAAACCAGGTGTAGTCTGTTACTGGGACCCTGACATCTCACAAACCCCAGTGAACTGAAAATATTTGTGCAAAATGTTGGATGAGCAGTGCCAGGCAGTGGATGAGCAATGCAGACTGGGAGTCATGTCTGCAACCTGGAGACCAGCTGCTGTTAGAAATCATCACAGCAGCCAAATAGGAGGAGTCAGAGGCCTGCATTTTCCAAAATGACAAGTGCCTTTGGTTGCCTCCATTTTGGGGGAATCCAACTGGAGACCCCCTAAAAAAGGTGTTTTATTCATAACTTCTGACATCAAGACCTTTGAAGGCATTTTCAAAACAGCAGCTTTCAAATATTTTTGAAAAAAGGGACTTTAATGATCTGCTGCTAACGCTGGACACTCTGTTGAGGCACATCAATGCCTATTTTTTTCCTGAATCCTTCCAAATTCCTGTCCTCAGTAATATCATGTGGCAATGAGTTACAAAGGTTAACAATATGCCAGGGAAAAGAACAGGGACCTTTACATAGCCTGAAGTACTTACTGTCACAGATCAGCCCCTTTCAGGGGAAGCACTGCCTTGGTGGGACTCTCCAAAAAGAAGCCTTGTTCAGTCTCCCTCCCGGAGGACTCCCTGAAGCCAGCCCTGGAATGACTTCTTGAGGGGCAAGCCTTTGGCTTCAAGAGCCTCTGGCTTCCCTGGCCCTTTGTAGCACCCTCACCCTCCGTAGCACCCTCTCCACAAAATGGTCCTTCTGTTCTCAGCTTCTGGGAAGGAAGGGGTTGCCTCTTCAGAAGAGGGGTTCAGAGTGTGAAACCCCAGCAGCACAGCTCCACTTCAAACACTCTTTATTGTGCCACTGAGGTTCCTCCCATCCTTTCCTGGACTCCTGCTTTCTCTCTGCAGCTCCGTCAGTGCCTCTTTTTTTCTCCTCAAGCATAGTGAGCCACAGTAACAACAAAGTGCAACAAAACTGTAATACCGTATTTAACCTCGTTGCTAAAGTCACCCCAAAATGATAAATAATGTTGTCAGGAACCAGTCAATGAACAGTTTCTGAGGCCTGCTGCTAGCCCAGACTTATCTTTCCCCAGGGAAAAAAGGCATCTAGAAACTTTCTACAGCAAAAGGTGCTCATACCAAGCCCTCCAAAGTAATCCCCACTGAAAGAACTCCAGGTCAGTATTCAGCCCATGTAGCCTCTTTGGTCATACTTGTCTATTCTTCCCCTCTCGGGATTCCCAAGGAGACAGCACAGATTCAAGATGGATGGCTACAGTAGTGTAATTAGAGGTAGGCAAGAGGGGAACCAGCCCTGGGCACCAACTTAAGAGGGATACCACAGTCGTTTCCCACCTTTGCTGAGTGGCAGCAAGAGGAGCCCCTGGCATTGCTCTTGCAGCAGCAACAGTAGCCAGTGAACAGACACTGCACTGCTGCTGCTGTTTTAAGAGAAAGAGGTGGGGCAGGCAGAGTATGCAGCAGCAGTGCAGCCCTGGACTGTTTTGGAGTTCCCGCCATGAGTAAGACTCCTGTGCCCTGTCCCGCCCCCTGTTCTGTGACCTGTGGGCAGTACTGGAGCAAGGGAGAGGTGAGTGTGGTGACCGCCCTGGGCACTGAAGCAAAGGGGCACCAACAGGTGCTGCCCAGCCAGGGCGAGGTGCGGGACAGAGCCATGAGCAGCTTGTCTGGGGGCACACAGGCATGAGGGCGGGTGGGGCAGCTCCTGCCACTGTGTGCACCCCCAGGCAAGCATGGCGGCACATGTGCCCCTGGATCTGTGCATGGGGCAAGGGTGGGCTGCTGCTGCAGGCTTGCCCCAGGCACCAAACTTGCTATCGTACTGCCTGTGGGTGTCCCCAGCAGGGCTTGCCCAGGGCACAAACCCTGTTCGTTATGCCACTGGGTACATATTTTAGTGCAATGAGCTAGAATGTTCCCTCTTTTGAAACAGGTGCTGTCCTAGTAATGAGCACCCTTCCCCTCAACAATGAACCAGCTGGAGCAGTAAATTCTTGGCCAGACCCACAGGGAGTGGAGCATGCAGACAG